TTCAAAGCCCAACACATTTAATCACAGTATGGCAAATAAAGGGCAAAGAAATTTTCCCCCCTCCCCACTCTTCTCCCACCATGCACTCAGGAAACATTCTCACCCAAGTTGCTCCACCAACAGTGGGGGAAGGCACACATGAAGAGAATATGTATGGCCAGGGAACATACATGAAGCATACACACAGGAAACATGCGACCAAGGGATATGCATAAAGAACCTGTCAAGAACACATATGAGCAGGACACATGCATGAGGAGCACATATATTGAGAAGTCTGTGTCCAGGGCACATATGTGAAAAATATAGAACAAATATATTGAAAAGTCTGTGGCTGAGGCACATTAGTGGCTAAGACAGTTCCTCCTCTAAGAGTAAAGAGCTGACTACATACTCTGATGATGTCTTTATAATGCTTTACAGATTTTTGAGCAGGGAGTGACATAGCCAGAATTGGCATCTGGGAAAATTGTTTTGGCAGTTTCACAAAAGATAAAAGAGATCACTTGGATTACATGAAATAGAAAAGCTTTGGCCCAAACCAAGTCAACCCAAGTAGGATAAGAACTCTGGCACAGCTGTCAATGGGGGAGGGGGAGAATCTTGGCATTAAATCCCTCTCATAAGTGTCTGATAGGGATAGGGATAGGATTTGTGATTTCATTGGTGTGGGGAGATCCTAGTAGGGACTCCCTCTGCCCATGTAGATTGGCATTTACTCTGAAGCTTATGGTCTTAAGAGGCTGCCCTGAGCACAGTTAGATTCAGAACTTGAACTCAGGTCTTCCTAGCTTCAAGGCTATCTCCTATTAACTATCCCACCTTTTTTTGCCAAATATCCAAAATATTTAGAAAAATAAAACAAATATTTAAGATGAATAGTTATTCCCCAATGGTTGAGTAGTCAAAGGATATGAACAAATAATTCTTAAAAGATGAATTATTAATTACATGATTATTAATTATAATATTGACAACCATATGAAAGATTGATTCAAGTGACTAGAAATAAAAGAAATCAAGATCAAAATAAATCTGAATCTTTACTTCATACCCCACAAATTGGGAACAATAAGAGAAGATGAAGATAGCCATATTTGGAGATGTAAATGGAAAGCCAAGCATACTAACAATACTGCCGGTGAAACTGTGAATTGGGCCTACCATTCTGGATAACAATTTGGAATTATGCTAAGGAAATGACAACAATTTCCATATTCTTTCACCCAACTATCTCACGACTGGGCATATGCTCCAAAGAGGTCAAAGACAGAAAGAAATGTTCCATATATGCCCAAATATTTACAGTGCCTTTTTTTGTAGTGGTAATTAAATGGAAACAAAGTAGATGTCCATCAGTTGGGAATGAATACACAAATTGTGGTATTTAATGTAATGAAATATTACCATGCTCTAGGAAATGATGCATATGAAGAATATAGAAAAGCATGGAAACGTTTATATCAACTCATATAAAATGCAGTAAGTAGAACCAAGAAAACAACATACATAATGACTACAACAATGGAAATGGAAAATGAAAATTAAGACAAAACAACAAAAAAATGGAACAAAAGAAAATAAAACAAAATGCTGTGTAATTGTTAAGATGAGGCCTGACTGAGGAGGGCAGCTAGGTGACATAGTGGATAGAATGGTGACTCTGAGGTCAGGAGGACCTGAGTTAACGTCCAGCCTCAGACACTTACTAGCTATGTGACCCTGGACAAATCACTTACCCTCTTTGCCTCGGTGCCTCATCTGTAAAATGAGCCAGAGAAGGAAATGGCAAACCACTCTGGTATCTTTGCCAAGAAAATCCCAAATGACGGAGTCACGGAGAGTTGCACACAACTGAAATGATTCAAAACAACAAATGACTGAAGAAGAGATAAGAAAATGAACTTCTCATCTTTCTTTCCAGAGTTATGAGACTATGGATGTAGAACAATGAATGTACTATCAAACTCAATTGATATGTTGGTTAGTTTCACTTAATTGCTTAAAAAAAACTTTTAAAAAATTCTTTGTTACAAGAGATGGTTCTCTAGGGAGGAGAAGAATACATTTGGAAGTGAAGCTAATGTTAAAAAAAATATATTCCTCCCCTCCTCGAAAAAAACAGCAAAAGGTTATTCAGCCCTGAAGGTGGTGGTCATAAAGTTCCAGAGAAAGGGACAGATGTAAGATATGCTATGGAGATAGAACTCAGTACTTAGCTACTAATTGGCTGTAGGAGAGGGACAGCTCCCATTTTAAAGAAATTCTTCCTTCTATTGAACTGAACCTGTAATTTCCACTTATTGGTCCTTGCTCTGCCATACAGGGCAGAATAGAACAAATGTAATCCTTCTTCCACATTAAATCTGTTTGCTCCACATCCTTTCAGGCACTCGTATGCACAGTTTTAGGAGCAATAAAACCTGGCTTATTTAGAAACCAACTAACCGGAACTCTCTGATTCACTGGATCTTTTTTCTACATTGGACTTTGGAGAGAGGTTAACCCAAACATCAAGACAAACTGATTTGAGGGATTCATTCAAATGAAACGAACAAACAAAACCAGAACTTCCTAGGGTTAGCTGTACATCTACAAGGAGAATTGATTTTCATAACTGTGTCCTAAAGCATCATAGTCATTGGAGAAGGACTTTGTCCAATATGGTAGCATTGTGTAATTGTTGAGTAACAGAGGTTGAAACAAAACAAAACAAAACAAAACAAAAAAGGATTTTGAGGGCAGCTCTCAGTGAAACAGAGCATCCTGCCATTGAACATTCCACTTAATCGATGTCTTCTTCTATTTTAACATTTGTACTTATTGATATAAGCTCTTTATAATCTAGCTCCCTCTTACCTTTCCACTCACCTTAACACTTCACTCCTCAACACATTCTCCTCTATGTGGTATTTAAGTCCTTTATAATCTGGTCTTATTACACATTACACCTCTTCACACATTCTTATGTCTAGTCCAATTGACTTTTTTACTGTTTGTCAGATACTACATTCATCTTCTGTCTTCTTGGTTTTGCAAGGGCTTCCTCCCATGTCTGGAATCTACTTTTTCCTCACTACCACCTCTTAGAATCCCTAGATAGATAGATAGATAGATAGATAGATAGATAGATAGACAGACAGACAGATAATTAGATTGATAAATAGGTAGATAGATAAATAGGTAGATAAATAGGGAGATAGACAGACAGACAGACAGGTAGGTAGGTAGGTAGGTAGGTAGGTAGAAGATACAACATTTTTTAGCACTGTGTGAGGCACAGTGTTAAGTGCTGGGGATACAAATACATGAAAACTTCTATTTTCAAGATTACATCCTAAAAAGCAAAGAGAAAACACAAAGAAGAGCTGGGAAAGAGGGGTAGGAAGGTACCTGTTGAGGGCAAAAGGTCAAGGCTATAGGTAAGGAGGTACATCAAACAACTCCAGAGAGTTGAGTTGGGCTCAGAATGAAGAGAAAGACAACTACAGGTAGCTCCTCAGAGGTTCCTTAGCTGATTTTCATTTTCTCACCCTTTCATTTCAGAAGGTTTAAGGAGGAGACTAAGCTGGTAATTAGGAAAGAAGAGTCCAATGCTAAAATGAGGAGTTGAAAATTAAGTCCAGTTGCCACCTTTTTACCTCAAGGCATATTGCCAGACATGCTTTTATTTTAAAAACCAAACTTTATTTACTCATTTTATCAGAATTGCTGCCCAGCTCAAAATGTTGTTTTCTGAATTGTAGGATTCCATAGTATTGTACCGACTGTAACAGGGCATAGTATTTTGAGTTCAGAGTCTGGAGACCTGACATGAAGGGGAAACACAAAACAAAAAATAACTTCTATAACAATTAGAACTGTTCAAAAGTGGAATGTAGAAGATGGAGTATGAGGAGGTGGTGGGCTCCGTCTCTAGAGTTGGATGACCATTGCTGGGAATGTTATCAGGCTATTTTAGAAGTAGCTAGATAGTGCAGTGGAGTTCATGGTGGACCTAGAATCAGGAATACCCAAGTTCAAATATGGCCTTAGACCTTAGCTGTGTGACCCTAAGCACATCATTTAACCTCATTTTCCTCATTTGTAATCTGGGGATAATAATACCTCCCAGGGTTGTTTTGGGGATAAAATGAGATAATATTTATCAAATGAGATAATATTTTTAAAGCATTTTGCAAACCTTATATGTTTTGCAAACATATAAATGTCAACTATTATTGTGTTATCTAAGCCAACCCAATGCATATGAGTTGGATTAGATGACTCCTAAGATCTCTTCTGTCTCTCAAATTCTGTGATTCTGTTGTTCCTAAGGCTGTCATTTGATGACAGCAGATAAGTGTCAAATATAATTATAACTTGGGTTTCAAGAGTCTGTGACCTCCAAGAATATCATAGTAAGTCAGGGATGAGGTTGGAAATAAAATAGTTATTGATTCCTTATTAGGCAAGTATGCCATGCTACTGGTAAATCATGAAAATAGGTATTAAGGGCTAAGGCCAAAGACATTTAATGGTGGTTACTGAGGATTTAATGGCCTCATATGCAGCCAGCTCGTACAAGCAACACATTTAATTCCAAGGAAATGACCTGTGGGAAGGCGAAGAGTTTGGGTAATGTTTTTTTAAAATTTCATTAAAAGTTTTCACTTTCCATGCTTTGGGCATAGCCAGATGATACTTGGATCGGTCCATCAAAGCACCTTTAATAGTTGAGCTTAGGTTTGCAGAACATTTTGCTAAAGTTATCTCATTGTGTTTTCACAATAACCCTTGGGAGGAAGGCAGGTTAAGCTATTTTTTTATTCCCATATCACACATGAGGAAATTGAAACTCAGAGAGTTTGAGAGACTTATCCTGAGTTACACAGTTAGTCAGTGGCAGAGTCAGGATCAGAATCAAGGTGTTCCTAGGCTTTTTCTGTTGCCTTTAATGATACTTTCCTCCATTAAAAAGATGAGGTAAAATATTAATTCATTTATTAACTGTTTTGCAGATTCCATTGTCATTGGATTTTGGGTTGGCCTTGCTGTCTTTGTGATTTTCATGTTTTTCGTACTGACCTTGCTGACCAAAACAGGAGCACCGCACCAAGAGTGAGTTGAATATTACCATATGGAATAAATCACATGCCACAGGCTGCAATCTGCCTTATTGGAGGGGGTTCCCACATAAGGAGTTGCCTATGAAATCCTTTCTTCAAAAATCTTTAATAATGCCTCTTTTGTTGTATTTGTATCCCTAGCACTTAGCACAGTGACTGGTACATAATAAACGCTTACTTATGAACTCTTATCAACTCAACTTATGAACTTACCAACTTTTATCAAACTCTTATCAAATTTCTGTTTAGTTTCTTTTTTCCTGGTATCTAAAGTCTTTAATGTGCAGCTAGGTGGCACAGAGGCCTCAGACACTTACTAGCTGTATAACCTTGGGCAAGTCGCTTAACCCTTTACTTTAGTTTCCTCATCTGTAAAATGGGCTAGAGAAGGAAATGGCAAACCACTCCAGTATCTTTGCCAAGAAGACCCCAGATGGGGGCATGAAGAGTTCAACATGACTGAAAAAAAATTAAACAACGAAAGAGTCTTTATTAATTTGGAACCATCTTGTCTTTCCAGCACTATCTCATATTATTCCCTTGTAGGTACTCTGTGCCTCAGTTGAACTACACTACACTTTGACCCCAACCACACTTCTGAACATACCCTCTACCTTCTTTTTTCTTTTTTTAAATATAAATTTATTTATTTTTAGTTTTCAACATTCACTTCCACAAGTTTTTGAGTTCTAAATTTCTCACCCCTCCCCCCACCCCAAGATGGCATGCATTCTGAATATCCCTTCCCCTAGTCTGTCCTCTCTTCTATCTCTCTCCGCCCTTCTCTTATCCCCTTCCCCTTCTATTTTCCTGTAGAGCAGGATAGACTTCTGTACCCCATTTCCTGTATTTCTCATTTCCCAGTTGCATGTGAAAACTTTTTTTTAAAACTGTTTTAAAACTTTGAGTTCCAAATTTTCTCTCTTCCTCCCTCCCCACCCACCCTCACTGAAAAGGCAAGCAACTCAATATAGGTTGTACATGTGCAGTTATGCAAAACACTTCCATAGTAGACATGTTGTGAAAAACTAACTCTATTTCCCTTAATCCTATCCTGCCCTCCCATTTATTCTATTCTTTCTTTTGACCCTGTCCCTCCTCAGAAGTATTTGCTTCTGATTACTCTCTTTCCCAATCTGCCCTCCTCTCTATCATCCCCCTGCTCTCTTGTCCCCTTCTCCCCCTATTTTCCTGTAGGGTAAGACAGATTTCCATACCCAATTGAATGTGTATGTTATTTCCTCCTTAAGCAAAATCCTATGAGAATAAGATTCCCTCATTCCCTCTCACCTTCCCCTGTTTCCCCTCCACTGTGAGAGACTTTTCTGTTTTTTTTGTGAGATAATTTACCCCATTCTACCTCTCCCTTTCTTCTCCGAGTATCATCCTCTCTCATCCCTTAATTTTATTCTCCAGATATGACCCCTTAATCTTCAACTCACCCTGTGCCCTCTATCTATCTATCTATCTATCTATCTACATATACATGCATATAATTTTTTTCCTTCAACTACTCTAATATTGACAAAGTTCTCATGAGTTACAAATATCATCTTTCCATGCAGGAATGTAAACAGTTCAATCTTAATAAGTCTCTTATGATTTCTCTTTCCTGTTTACCTCTTCATGTTCCACTTGAGTCCTGTATTTGAAAGTCAAATTTTCTATTTAGCTCTGGTCTTTTCATCAGGAATGCTTGAAAGTCCTCTATTTCACTGAATGACCTTTTTCCCCTGAAGGATTATACTCAGTTTTGCTGGTAGGTGATTCTTGGTTGTAATCCTATCTCCTTTGCCCTCCGGAATATTATATTCCATGCCCTGCGGTCCTTTAATGTAGAAGCTGCTAAATCTTGTGTTATCCTGATTGTGTTTCCACAGTACTTGAATTGTTTCCTTCTGGCAGCTTGTAATATTTTCTCCTTGACCTGGGAACTCTGGAATTTGGCTACAATATTCCTAGGAGTTTTCCTTTGGGATCTCTTTCAGGAGGAGATCTGTGGATTCTTTCAATTTCTATTTTGCCCTCTGGTTCTATATATCAGGGCAGTTTTCCTTGATAATTTCTTGAAAGATGATGTCTAGGCTCTTTTTTTGATCATGGCTTTCAGATAGTCCAATAATTTTTAAATTCTCTCTCCTGGATCTTTTCCAGGTCAGTTGTTTTTCCAATGAGATATTTCACATTGTTTTCTAATTTTTCATTCTTTTGGATTTGTTTTACAGTGTCTTGATTTCTCATAAAGTCACTGTCTTCCAATTGCTCTATTCTAATTTTTAAGGAAGTATTTTCTTCAGTAATCTTTTGGACTTCCTTTTCCATTTGGCCAATTTTTCTTTTTAGGGCATTTTTCTCCTCATTGGCTTTTTGGACCTCTTTTGCCATTTGGGTTAGGCTTTTTTAAGGTGTTATTTTCTTCAGTATTTTTTGGTTTGGCTCTTTAGCAAGCTGTTGACTTGTTTTTCATGATTTTCTTGCATCACTCTCATTTCTCTTCCCAGTTTTTCCTCTACTTCCCTTACTTGCTTCTCAAAATCCCTTTTGAGCTCTTCCAAGGCCTGGGACTGATTCATATTTTTCTTGGAGGCTTTGGATGTAGGAGCTTTGATTTTGTTGTCTTCTTCTGGTTGTATATTTTGATCTTCTTTTTCACCAAAGTAAGATAATATAGTCTGACTCTTTTTGCACTGCTTGCTCATGATCCCAGCCAATTACTTGAGTTTTAAACTCTTTGTTAAGGTAAGAGTCTTCTTCCAATGTGGAGAGTGTACTGTCCCAAGCTTCAGGGGTTTGTGTAGCTGTTTTCAGAGATACTTGTAAGGACCTGTAAATTTTCAGTTCTTCCAAGGTGGTATGATAAGGGTTGAGGTGTTTACTCCTTTCCTGGCCTGTGACGACAAGTATTCCTTTCTGTCCTGTAACTGTGAGGAGGGGTTCCTCTCTACAGCCACTACAAGCTCCACCACGCCAGCGTTCCTCCTCACCCCAGTACTGCCACCCAGAACTGTGACCCAGATCCACACATGGGCAAAGCAAGAGATTCCTGCCTCAGCACTGGCAAAGAGATCCCTGCAATCCCTCTCTGATCAGCCACTGGATTCCCCCTCAGTCTGTGGGCCAGAAGCTCGAGAAGCAGTTGCCCCCCCAGGTCCACGCTCTTGGGGAATGGAGCTGAAACCCTGCCTTCCTCTCTGAGCACCTTCAGAAACAGACTTTTCCCACTGACCTTCTAAGTTGTCTTTGGCATTTGTGGATTGAGGAGTCTGGAAACCTCCACAGCTGCCCACAATTCAGTCCTCTGAGGCCTGCTCCAGGTTTGTTGTGGCCTGCGCGCCCACGCTGCGCTCCCACCCCGGTGTGATACACCTTTCTGATTAATCATCCAGGTTGTCTTGGGCTGGAAATTTGTTTCACTCTGTCTTTTTGTGGGTTCTGCTGCTTCAGAATTTGTTTAGAGCCATTTTTTATGAGTATCTGGAGGGGTTTTGGGGAGAGCTCAAGCAAGTCACTGCTTTCACTCCGCCATCTTGGCTCCGCCCTACCCTTTACTTTCAGAAGTATCTCCGTACATTGCCCCTAGGCCTGGAATGCCCTCCTTCTCCTTTTTCACATGGTGAATTGTTACTGGTTCCTTAAACTCCAACTCAAATGCCACCCCCTCTGTAATGCTTTCCCCACTTCCCATGTCAATAATGACCTTCATTCTCAGACCTCGCATAGAGTCTGAGGGGCCACTAGGTGGTGCAGCAGATAGAGCACCAGGCCTGGAGTCAGGAAGACCTTGGTTCACTACATTCTGGCTGGTGACCCTGACCAAGTTGCTTCTTCCTCAGTGCCCTAGGCAGCTCTTTGAGACTATAAATTGCAGAGAAAGTGCCAAAATGGTACAGGGCATTTTCACACTGGAAATTTTTTACACAGATGAAATCACAGATCTGGGTATCTCTCCCTTCTGCTTCTCCTCTTCCCCAGTAACCCATCCAATAAAATTATTTGCTCAGATACTCAAGTAGATCAGTGATTTCATTAATGGAACATTCCCTGGAATGATTCAAATTATCACCTAACCATGCCTGCCCATGTCCTCCTATAACTGCCACAAGGGATCTATCCAAACTGCTGGAGACCTCCCTCATTATCTCCAAGGATACCAACGGAAGTTAGAGGCCTTCAACTCAGAAATTGTTCTTCCTTGCTGAATAATTAATACAGTCACATGCTGCCTGTCAGTAGGCTTATGTAAGGCCACACTTGAGTAGTATGGCCCAGGTACACAATGGAAGGGGGTCTCCAGAGTCACAGGTGTCAACTCCTCATTTTATAACTGATGAGCTTGAAGTCTTAGAGACATTAAATGACTCACCCAAGTCACCCTACTAGTTGGTGGTAAAGCTAGGATTTGGGTCCAGGTTTTCTTGGTTCTAAGTCTAAGCTTATTCCATTCCACCATGCTATAGCCTTCTAATTCTAAAGCTATTGGAGTTTCCTTTTACTGTGATGTGCAGCCAATGAAATGTCCTTCCATTCCAAGGTCAAGTGAGTTAATAGCATACCAAGCACTGGTGGGCTCTGAAAATCTTTCAGCTCATCTCCTTAATCCCCAGTACTGGCAATTTCAGGAATGACACAATCACTGAAGACTCAATGATCCTTTGCAAGGCAGGAGAGAGAGGAAGACTGCTATTGTAAAGTTAATGTTGCCTTTCTATGAAAGCCATTAAGCAAAGGAAACTGTAGTTATGGCAGTTTTCGCCGTGGCATGGGAAAATGCTTTTCTGGGGCATTTTATGGAAGATGAAGAGCTGGCAATTTTTTTCTCCCGACTTTCATAACTAAAAATTCATTACTGCTTATCAAAGCAGTATCTCTTTTTCATCAAGAATTCTCATGATGGATTTAGAGAAAAGGACTGGAACAATTTTGTTTGTTCTTTGGACTTCATATCTGAAAAGGAAAACCAGCCTCCTCCCTATCGTGACCCTTTCATTTTAC